GTGTGTACCTATTGGGTCAGGAATGTGGTACTCCATGAACTTGGGTAGGGAAGAGGAGGAATTCCTGGACCAAGGGAGAGTAAGTACCAAGCAAAGAGAGAAACCCTTGCCTCTCACCATAACAGGAAACCAGCCTATGTAGTCAGAGCCCAGCTTCCTGCTGACAGGGAAATGAAAACAGCCCAAGCTGACCAGCTGAGACTGGTCTGGGACAGCTGCCTGGCCATTCCGGATACTCATTTTTAATGGAGTTCAGGATCTCAGGCGCCAGGCAAACCTGAGTGACCATCTAGGCTGGGACACAAGGCCAGCTTGAGTCCAAGGGGATGACCCTGTCTTCTCCCTAGGACTACTTGCTGTGTCTGGGAAACAGATGAATCACACAGCATGTAGGGATGGGGGTCTCCTTCACATTAATGGTTGTTGGGTAGGAAGTGAAAACGAAGATGATCCTTGTACCTCTAGGACCCCCATGGGACTGGCAAGACCAGTGGGTAAACCTGTGAGTCGTAGGCCCAGCCATGGTTCTTCCAAATGGGCCTCTGGAGTCTTGGGAGGTTTTTCTAGGCTTCACTTGAGCCTGACCCTCAAGTCCCAGGATCACACATGCCCTGTTTTACCTCGATTGTTCTCGCACAGAAACCTGCCTACCCAGACAAGCACTCCTGGCCCTGCACTGAGACATGCCATGGGAGAAGTAATGGGCTGGGAATTTAGACACACAGTATTTTCTAGACTGCTAATTACGTGACATGAAGGTAAGTAGTTGACTTTCCCGCTGGAGAGCATTCCTCGCTGGACTATTCCTTCTCTGTGTCAAAGTCAGCCACCTTGTACTACAGTGGATCAGGAGTTGGGCACTCCAGGAGCACAGCAGGCTTGAGGTGCTATTTGCCCTGCCCTGGGAGCTGGAAAGGGTGGCTGCCTCTTCTGGGAATAATAAAAGGGCGAGTGAGGCACCTCTCACACTGGCAGGGCAGAGCTGTACAAATGTGTGGTGGCTGTTACTCCCCACTCCCAGATATGAGGGCCTCACAGGTGACAGGCGGTGACTCTAAATAAGAGTTCCTGCCCCCATGGAGTCAGTTTCCCTAATGAAAGGTCACTCTGAGGTCAAAGCTCACAGAGAAGAGGAAGTGGTTTGCATCCACTGTGTCAGCCCCCCCATTATCAGCCCTAGGCTGGTGCTGCCTGATGCCCATTTTCACTCCTTAGCTGATTTCAAACTCAGACTTCAGGAAAGGGAGTGATAGACACTCCCTTGACTACAACCTTTGTCCCGTCTACAGGCTACAGTGATCAACTTCCCTTCTACATTCCTGGAGACTGAGGTCTTTCCTTGATTTTGGCCAGTCAGTTCCCTAGAACATTCCCAGGACTTAAGACATTTCTCCCCTCGTCAGCTTACTTGGTGGCAGGGGCTAGGGCTGTGTGAGGAACCCCAGCAAGCTGAAGAGGGAGAGAAATGTAGATAGCCAAATCCAGGACAGCCTCTAGATTCACGGAGGACACAGATCCTTGGCTCATAACAGTGTACTCCCCAGAGCAGGGGGACTACTCCATGTCAGAACTGCCCGCTCTCTGTGGGAAAGGCTGGCCTTCACAGAGTCCTAGAACAAGACAAAAATGGTAGGCTATGGATCCCATAGCCCGGGAGTTAAGTGTGACTGAGACTTGCAGGGAACCTTTGAAATTGGCTACAAAAGGAATCAGGGCCAGAGATAGAGGTGGATAGTGTAGAGCTACAGAAATAGAAATTAAACCGAATGTTTTAATCCTCCTAGTTGCCTTAGTAGCAAACTCGCCTCAGGCTAGGCTTTAGGCCCTTGAGTCTCAGCACAACCTGAGAAGCCTAACAGATCTTTCTAGGTCTCTTATGCCTATGCCCTCTTGAGAGTCTATCAGTAAAATACAGACTCTACTGCATTTGTTAATGAATGCCTTCTCCATTTGGGTTAGGGAAGATCAGGTTCAAGAGCAAAGTTGGGGGCTGTTCCCATCCCTACAAACATCTAGAGATGCATCACCAGCTCCCACAGAATCATACCCAGCTCAGGGAGTCATGCTTGCAAGTGCTTCTTTAGTCACAGTCGCTCACTCATATGAGACCACTCCTGGTTGTTCCTCAGCCATCTCTCTGATACAAGTGCAGTCAGCCTTCCTGGCCCAAGGGGAGCAGAAGCACCATTGAGCTCTCTGAGAGTGGCAGTCAGAAAGAAGGTTCTGGACTCATGACTCAACCCTTTTCCCAGCAAGCTGTTCCTTGAAAGCCCCATAGCATAGTAACCTGAGTCATACGGATATCCTTTGTCTCCTCCACACACCTGCCACCATACACAGCCAGAGGGGATGCTAGGACCTCATGAGGTAGGCAAGCGACTCAGGGTCAGGCTACTTTCAGCTCTGAGTTCAAGGGAAGGAAGATGGGTCACAGGAAATGCAAGGGCCATATGAGCCTAGGAAGTACCTTTGGAGAAGTTTCTAACTTACAGTATTGGGATGAGGGAGTAATCAAAACAAATCTCTGGTCATACGCCCTTCTAAAACTCCCCAAGTTATAACCACAATAACCCCAGGATTCCCACCCTCCAAAACAAAGGACAACTTAAAGGAACCTCTTAAGTTTTAGCCTCCTTCTCCAATTTCCTACTGGAAATAGGACCCATAGGGCAAATCCAGCTGTGATGGCCAATTTTATGTCAATTTGACACAAACTAGAATGATTTGGGAAGAAAAACTCCGAATTGAGAAAACGCCTCTATAAGATTTGTCTGTGGAAAAGTCTGTAGGGCATTATCTTGGCTGATGATTGACATGAGAGGGCCCAACCCACTGTGGGCGGTACCGCTTCTAGCCTGGTGGTCCAGGGTGCTATAAGAAAGCCTTCTGAGCAAGCCAGAAAGCAGCACTCCTCCATGGCCTCCACATCAGCACTTGCCTCCAGTTTCTACCCCGGCTTCCCTCAGTGATGGGCTATGGTACAGAACCGTAAGTTTAAACAAACCCTTTTCTCTCCAGCTCACTGTTGGTTATGGTATTTATCACAGTAATAGAAACCCTAACTAAGACGCCACCTGAGATTTGGTTCCCACTCTACAGACCCCCCCAAGGGAGCCCCGGATTCAGAGGCGAAAGAGAATCTTGCCCATTCTCTGCCTCTAGACTGGAAGAAACAACAGTCCAGGGGATGGCTGGCTCAAGGGAAAGCAGGGTTGCCACCATGGCCGACACTGGGGGCCAGGTCATGGTCTGACACGGTTGATGCTGACGTTGTGCTGTATGTGACATGTGTGATCTGAGCTTGAGTCCTGATGAATTGTAACAAGAGAGCCTGAGCAAAGGAACTTGGGTATCAGCCAAATCAAAAGAAACAGCCTGAGCCCTGTGCAGTTTCTGGCCTCCCCCCTCTCTATCCTCAGCCCTGAACTTGCCTCTAACTTGAAAGGGATAATTAAAGCCAAAAGAAGAAAATCAAAAGCTTGTTATCTAGCTCCGTGACTCTCAGTCCTGGCATTGGTCATCTCTCAAGGCGGTACTCCCTCTGTTCTCTCCAAGGGTACCATGCAGTGTTAGGGCCAACTGCTCTGCAGGCCTCCGTGCTGAACTGGTTTTTGTGTTATGGCAGGAGCAAGAGCAGGATACATGCCTGTTAATGTATCAGGTGGTTCCCTACAGATGCTGTTATTCCCAAAAGCAAAGCCCCCAAACAGTTTGGAACAAGTTTTCTACAGAAGACTGTCAGAGATCGCTAAACCCTCTTATCTCAGAACTACTACCTACTTAGCAAGCACACATCACTACAATGTAGCCTTTTAGTGTGAGCAATGTGTGCACATGTGTGTGTAAACTCATTGATGGAGACATTTTTGGATGTATTCAAGTGTGTCAGGGTACTCGAATGTAAAATGAAAATTTAGCCAGGGTGCTACGGGTTGGAGTTCACCCCCACCCAAATGCAGATTTAAATTTGGTTGCCTTTCAACTGTCATAAGAGGTTCTAGGGTAATGGGGCTGGGAAGGAGCTCGGTGGCTAAAGCATTTGTTATACAGCTGTGAATCCTGAGTTTAGATCCACAGAAGCACACATTAAACACCGAGTGAGCATGATCACATACCTATAATTCCATTCTTGAAGGCTGAGACAGGGGCAGAAGGTGGATTCCCTGAGTGAGCTGGGTAGCACAAATTAGCAGGGTTTGACTGAAAGGTTTTGTCCCAAAGTATAGGGCAGGAGAGTGACTGAGAATGATCCCCATATCAACCTGGGTCCACGCAAACATCTACACACTCACGCCCACCTTCCACAAAGCATTATAAAAGAAAATAAACAAGTTGGGCATTTAAGAAATGGTTAATGAGTGGATTGATTTTTTTTTGTTTTTGTTTTTTTGAGTTTTGTTTTGTGGGGTTTTTTTCCTTTTTTTTTTTTGAAACAGGGTTTCTCTTCCTAGCCCTGGCTGTCCTAGAACTTGCTCTGTAGACCAGACTGGCCTTGAACTCAGAGATTCGTCTGCTTCTAACCCGAGTGCTGGGATTAAAGGCATGTGCCACCACTCCTTGTTTGAATGAATTGTTTTATTGTGGGAGTTAAGGATGAGATCAGTCACCTCTTACTCTCTTTCTCTCCTTCCCTTCATCCTCATGTTATGATACAGCAAATGGCCCCCAATAAATGCAGACTCTTGAGTGTAGACTATGGCAACCTCCAAAATAATGAGAAATGAATTTCTTCCCATGATTGGTGGCCCAAGGGTGGTATTCCACAATAGAAGTAAGAGAGTTCTCTAATGGTCTTCTCTATTCTAGTCTTCTATTGTTTCCCTCTACTGACCTATGTCTAAATGTGTAACACACACAAACACACACACAGCACACACAGTACAAATATGGTTCATTACTGACTATCTATATTTAGGAACAGTAATCAACAGCCCCCAAATTCTTAACTACAAAGCTGGGGTCCTTGTTCCCCACACCCCACAGGGTCCCCTCTGACTCACCGCACTGCTGCAAGGGATGTCCTTCACCTTGAGCCAGGCCAGGTCCAGCGTCCCCTCGCCTCGGTAACAGGACTGCAGGCGCTCCTTAATGCGGTCGTTGATCTGTTTCAAGATGAAGATGCACAGGGCAGACTCATCTAGAGATTTCATCTTCCGCTTCTGGCCCTTGGAGAAGACAGTGAAGAGGAGGTCGGCATCTGGGCGGACTCCCAGGGTCCGGCCCAGCACAGCACCAGCTTTAGACAGGTAGGCAGCCTGTAGCAAGCGATATTCCACCCCATTGCGTTCACAGCCAATGGGCACCTCCACGTAGGAGTTGAAGGCCGTGTCCTCTTTGCAGAGCCTCACAAGCTTTGACGTGTACACCTGTTCCTTCGTCGTGGAGCCTGGGGGAGACACCATCTCTGGCTGAAGGGTCAAAAAGTAGACAAAGTTGCCACTGCTGAAGCCATAGACATAGTAGATGTCAAAGTCAGGGATAACAGTGAAGGTGTCTGAAGGGATCTTGATCATAGAGGCCACAAACTCATCGTGGAAAACATAAGCAAACATGCCATCTGCCTCAGAGTTCTTAGTCAGCTTCCTACTGGAGATGGTAGGAAAATATTCAGGCTTGCCATCCACTGCGGTGGCAATAAAGAGTTTGTCATCCAAATTGCTATAGGAGACGATCACCCCAAAAACAGAGCCACTCTCATTAACCCCTGAGAGGTAATGTTCTTTCTTGTGGAAGGGCTCTCCCAACTTGAAGAGGTCCTCCAGCCTGAGGAGCTTGCAGATACCCTGATACAAGCTTCCACACGCAATCAGCCTATTTTCTTTGTAGTCTATAAGCAGCATCTTGTTAACATTATTGGTGCTGGCCAGGGGCTCATTGCAGGTCTGAACAATACGAGGTGGGTAACACTTGGGGTTGTCCTCGTCTGGCCCTGTCTGATGAGTCACCAAGACTTTGAGGTCACTAGAGAGCTTGTAGATCCTGTTGACAGCCCCCAGGTAAATGTGCCCTGTCCTCTCATCCACCACGAGGTGATTGAAGCCCTCGGTGGGCTCGCCTCGGAATGTGACAAGAGAACGCTTCTGAGCCAGCTGGAGCGGCTGTCTCGAGAGCAGAGTAGAGGAGCCCATCCCCACCACCAGGAGGTGGGACAGCAAGCAAGTCCAGTTCCAGGGCATGGCTTTCATCTCAGAGCGAGGTCCTGTCAACACAGTGGCAACCAGCACAACTGTCCCTCCAGAGGGCCAGGGCTCAGCAGGGCTGTCTCCCCTAGCAAGGAAAGAAGATTGCAATGTCAGTGAGCCAAGAGCTTTTGTAATGCCTACAGCTCTTCCTGAATTTAGTACATACATGGAACCAACCTGTTCTGGGAAAACTAGAGGCCAGCGGATCCAGACCCAAGAACAGGTGCATGAGATGTTATCTTGGCAGTAGCAGCTCTACTACTCTTTATCAATAATATTGATGGGTGATGATAGTGATGAGGATGAAGATGATAGTGGTGATGCTGATAGGAAACAGCATTGCCTACTAAGTGTCTGGTTTTGTACCCGTCTCTGGCCAGTACCTCTGGATACTGTCTCATTTCATCTTAGTAACCCTTCCATAATGAGTATATCCCAGCTGTCCTTCTAGAATTAAGGTCTACACTTATCTGTGAGCACAAAGTTAACACACATGGACCCTACATTGATGGTCCCCTGGAACAGGTCCCAACTTAGTGATCCTACTGAACAGCATCAACAGAAGGCTAGAGGAGGTGCATCCACACTTTGGCCTTCCTCTGCCTCTCTGTCTCCATGGTCTGTGGACCATCCCCTGCCTATTTCATTAGACCTAAGAGAGAGTAACAGTGATCTCATTGTTAATAGCACAAAAAATGTAACACTAAGCTGGGTGACAGTGGTACACACCTTTAATCCCAGCACTCAGAAGACAGAAACAGGAAGTTCTCTGTGAGTTCCAGGCCAGCCTGCTCTACAGAGCTAGTTCCAGGACAGCCAGGACTACACAGAGAAACCCTGTCTCAAAAAGAAAAGGAAAAAAGAAAAGAAAAACCAGCACTACCCCATGAAGAAACCAGTCTTTCACAAATACTCTCATTAATTTCTGTCCAAAAGACCAAATTTGCACATCTTGTTTCATGCCACAACCGTAACTGCTGCCAACAGAAGCCTGTGGTCATTTTACACCACATTTTACAGCTAAGGAATGTGAGCTTAGGGGACTTCTGTGGCTTGTATCACCAAAAAAGGAAAAGGTGGCTGAATTAGTTCATAGTAGGTCCTTAACCATCTCATTTGATCCCACGGCAAGAGTTGGACTCCACCTCCTGTTATCCACAACAGAATTGCTAAGGCCATCCATTATAACTGCTGTCCCTGACCTGCTTTGTCCTCCATGTCTCCTCTGCCAGACAGTTTAGGGAGGTTAAACTAAAAGTCCACATCCTCCATCTCTTCAAGTTGCAGGGGCAACCAGTCCCCCACTGGGGTACACTACCCATGTAGGTCTGGACTCTCATATCATTTTAATGAGGTACAACTTGGCTTTGGCTATCTCCTATAGTGGGGACTCCTCTAGCTCCTATGATTTTTCTTTGAAAGGAGAGAAAACCAGGGGTCCAGGAAATAAATAAATAAATAAATGATCTCTAGGGCACAAAATTGCCATCCATTCTAGCAGTTGCCTTCATTTCTATTTAATATACTTTTTGCACATGTTTCTAGGGGACAGCATCATATTTCTCCCAGCTTGGATGAAATAAAGGCTGGTATTGTCAATACCTTGTTTAGAGATATCTCAGCTCTGTGGGATTTCTCATTTCCCCCAAGCTCCTAAAAATGAGGTTATGGGATGAGGTAAATCATTAAAATAATAGCAGTCACCCCAGCAGTAAGAAAGGACAGGTTAACTGGACACCCAGAGAAGAGAAAAAAATAACCAGGGTGTGAACGAGGAAGCCTACGCGTGGAGAACACAGCTCAGGAAAGAATCAGGAAGAGGGTATCGCAGAAGAGAGAAAGCCATGAGCCCTGCCTGGATATTACTTCAAAGTGAAGAGTAAAGTACACAGAGCTGGGGGAAGAGGACAAACTAAAAACAGCCAAGAAGCCCTCCTCTTCATTGGAAGAAATTGGAGCTGAGGATCGGTGAGATCCAGGAGCCAAACAGGTCCTGTCCTAATCACTAGTGCAACCAAGTCATCGAAGCCCTGCGGAGTACCCATTGGAGGCTCTACAACTATTTCCTGACTGGCAGAAAGAGGGTTCAGAAGCAGAGAAGAAAAGCAATAGTTGTGCAGCCTTGACCATATCCCAGACCCCCTGCAAGGTAAATACTTCCCCTTGTAAAGCTTATAGGATCATCATGGTTGTTCCTGTTCCTCCTCTGCAGATGAGGTATCAAGTTCTTCAAGGATATGTGGCCAGTGAGAGGCAGAGTTAGGGATGGGATCCAGGTCTACACCATTGCAAAGTCCGTGCACTGTCTAGAAATGCTTCGTTACAGAACCCAGAATATAGAGCCCTTGGCGTTTAATTCACACAAGTCCCAAACACAGAAGTCCCAGGATACCATCTACCAAACTCACAGAAATAGAGATTCCTGTGACACTACCTGGGAAATGACATGTGTCAATGGGTCCTATTCCATGAAAATTCTGAAAGTATTGATAACACCTGACATGAGGACTTCGTTCATCACACAGGAGGGGCTTAGCTGTTAAGACGATTGAAATTGGATTAGAAAGATAAGGATTGTGATACAGGGATGGTTCCTACTGGTTAGAAAAACCTGAGGACAAGTGATGAGGAGTCAAGACAGTTCCTCTTGAACTGTCTTTCCCAATCCAGAGAGCAGCGAGGATTCTAGAAATTTGCTTTCGGAACTAGGTAATCTGGTTTAATGCTACTCACAGTCCTGATTTCAAAGGCAATGGCAGTGATATCGAAAGTGGCCACATGGGATAAAAGATGAAGGTGAAGGTTGGGGAGATAGCTCAGCTGGCAAAGTGCTTGCCATGCTCAAATGAGAACTTAAATTTGACCTCCAGAATCCATGTTTAAAAAAAACAGGCATGCCAGCATATATTTATAATCCCAGTCCTAGGGATGGAAAGACAGGAAGGTCACTGGGACTCCTTGACCAGTCAGCCTGATATAATCAATGAGTTCTAGGCTAGTGAGAGACCCCATCTCAAAAAGCAGGTAGACAACAACAAAGGAAAGACACCCAAGGTTGACCTCTGACCTCTGTATGTACATGCAGAAATACAAATGCGCCAGCACACATGTATACCCACCCCCTACACATGACACAAACACAATCAATTAATCAATAACAAAATATAAATAAAAGATGGCAATGAGGGACACACAGATCACTGCTTCGCCATTCAGTGCTCTTCCTATCACATTTGGCCTCTTCTGACTTTATCTAAACCTACTCCAACATCTGCTCCCCAGGCTTTGAAAGTGACAGCTATTCAGGCACCATATGCTCTGCTGGCTAACAGGGCTCTCACTGCAGCTCTGCCAACAGCCAAATTCCAGAGGGGCTGATGTACTCACTGGAAGACACAGGCAGGTTGGGGCACAGCCATTAGCCCCTCGGGAGGGATAGTTCGGCAGACCCTGCCTCTGAGCATGCCACACGCCTGACATTTGGCCCACCTTTCTGTACACTCACAGACCCACGGCCAATCCACCGCTCCCGAGTCAGTGCCAAGGCAGACCATAATCATGATTTTCCTGGGCAGGCAGTAGCCACAGCTCATTCACCATCTTCTATTAGGTACAAAAATGAGACACAGTTATGCATCTCAAACACTTATCACTTTTTATCTGGGGATGGTGAAATTTACTGTTCCTGGAGGGGCAGGGGATCTAGCATAAACAGTAACATGTGATTGGAATAAACAGTCTCACATTTTTGCCCCAGAAAAAAGATGAAAGAGGAAACAAGGAACAGAGAAATGGAAAAGGAAGTGGTATGAACAAGCACATGGACACTAGCTGGTCCACTGAAGACCCCACTGAGAGCCTGGTCAATGCCAGTCTCCCCAGCCCAGCTCAAAGGTGGCCTTCTTCCCACAGAAGGGCAGAGCCACAAGCCCCCTCTCACCCAGGGTCATCTAAAGTTGTTCTGGCCTCACAGAACTGCAAATTTGGAGCTTCTAAAGGGTGGAGGTGTCTATACCAAGACGTCAACCCATAATAAGTACTGTCATTAGCCCAGGAGTGCCCTACCCCAATTTCTGATCCTTGTATCACTTCTCACTCAAATATCTACTTAACGTGATCTTAAAACAATTTTTTAAAAAACACCAGCAAATCACTCCAATGTTTTCTAAAGGGATTTCTGAACCAGGCAGATGGGCAGGACAGAGGACAGGACGCCCCACAGACCAAATCAAACCCAAACACACTGCCACCTCTCCTTCATGAAATCAGACTTAAATTCTGAGTGGTCTCAGGGGAGATGGGACTCATTTTTAGAAGCTTATCATCATTCTGATTAAAGCAGTTGGGACTGCCTTTGTTTTATATGGCAAGTTTTGAAGAGCTCAAACTAATTTTCATGAAGTGCTACCGTCCTCTCAGACTCCTGAGTGGCAGAAAGAAAGTTATTATAGAGCAGTTTAAAATAGCAATTAGCTCACAAAATTCCTTCAGAGTGTGTACGTCGTCTTCGTGTACATTACCTCCTCTTGATTTTATTGTTCACCATGACTCTATTGAGCTACCATTGCATGTGATCCCAAAGAGTACGGACTAAGAATTGCTGGGGCCATCTTGTAACCCAAGAGGGCAAATACAACGAGGGACCTCAAATAATGAAGCTATAAGAAAACAGAAATGATTAGAGGTGCCTGAATTCCAGTTCAGGTTATGCAGATGTCTATGTAGTATGCACGACACCATCGGGGTGCCTGTCCTGCCCAGATAATATATGAGCCAAAGTTCAGGTTTGGTTTTCTGGAATCATTAATGAAAGAATCTTGTTTTCTATTGCTGTGATGAAATGCCATGAACAAATTCAAGTTGGGGAGGATAGGATTTATTTCAGCTTATGGCTCCACATCACAGTCCTTCACTGAGGGAAGTCAGGGTGAGCACTCAAACAGGGCAGGAACCTGGAGGCAGGAGCTGATGCAGAGGCCACGGAGGATGCTGCTTACTGGCTTGCTTCCCATGGCGTGCTCAGCCTGCCTTCTTGTACAGCTCAAGACTGCCTGCCCAGGGGTGGCACTGTCCACAGTGGTCACT